AGAATAAGGCGGGATAAATAAACCACTACTTAAGATCTATGGAAAACCGAAAGTCTCATTACGTCGCATCTGTTTCTGTGTATTACTGAGGATGTGAAAATAAATTTGCCGGAAAGAGTGATGAATCAAGATTCAAGATTGCAATTAGTGGTCCGCAACTTTCTAAAGCAGCTGCAGCAAAAGTCATGACGTAGGTTGGTCGGTCTCACCGTAAGTGCTGACTTTACTTTTACCCTGTTTCCATTGACTCATTGCCCGGTAACAGAAAGTAATGAATTGTTCATATCATCCGTGAAATCTAATTGGCGCCAGAAATAAGTAGGCCTTCCCCCCTTCCCCGCATTACATGCGTTCATGTCCTCTCGCCATATTTGCAAGTCGGTCTACTTATGCGGCAGAGTTGTTCGTGAGCATCCGACAGCCGCTGAGCTGGTCAATAACTGCTCCACACTTAAGGAACCTGAAATTTCACTACCACTGCCACTGAACCACAACTGTGTTAACTTAACCCAGTCAACTGCCTCGCGCACTATCTCTTTATCTACACCTACGTCTCCAGATTTTCCGGATAAATCCTGTGCGCATTTCCCAACTCTCACGTGCGTATTACGTGCCCTGCACATGCACCACGTCCTTCTGTGCTTTAATAGCGCATATATGGCAGAAAGTCAAATTTCATCATTTTCTTCATCTTCTGTTACTTTTCCCTGTCTTCAGTTCCAGCATTCCCCTCAGAATTTCTTTCGCATATAGCCGGAATTTATTCCGGTAAGGGGAAAGATAAAGCTTCCCAGGGGAACATACAGTTTGAGAGCAGATATTCCTGCAATTTACTTTGCTCTTGACTCCTTAATGAAAGCAATTTCGACTTTTTTACTGTCGATCCCAAATATTTGAACTCCGCCACATTGTCAAAAGACAATTTCTGCCCTGCATCCCGACGATATATAAACATGCGTGCATAACTGTTTACGTTAGATAATAAAACGTAATAATAATTCTGTTAAATTCCATACATTCAGAACTCATAAAGACTGAAAGATATACTCGTGACATATACCGTATTTACGCATGTACAGGCCGCACATTTTTTGCCAAAAATTCAAGAGGAAAACTGGGGTGCGGCTTATATTCGAAATATTCGAAATCACACTTCATTTAAAAAAATTATATTCATAATTAGTAATACAGGGTGTAATATTCCTGAAATAATATTCCAAGAAAATTATTTTTTCTATAATTTCTGTCTGGAAATTGTGCTGCGGCCTATACACGTACGCGGCCTATATATGCGTAAATACGGTAATCTCATAAAGGTGGCCGAGAGACGAAACATTTAAACATCGATCTATCTACGGCTCCACAGCTGTTTGCTGGACCTTGGCCGCTTTTTCACTTCCTTGGACGGGGGATCAGCTTGTCTCAAGGCCGCTATCTACACACAGAGCAACATAAACACAAAACAAATGTTACAAGCCGGAAGGTCACATGTTCAATTCCCGATGAAGTCACTGGATTTTTTCAATTGACCTAATCCTTCCAGCCACACCATGAGCCGATTTTCTAGATAGTGTGGAACCCTCAACATCTCACAACCCTATGGGCCTTCACGGCCTGGTACAGGGATAGCTTTACTTTAAAAAAAAACGCACAGACATCCATGCCTCGAGTGGATTTCAACCCACGATCCCAGAGTTTGAGCGGGAGAAGACAGTTTATGCCTTAGACCGCGCGGCCACTGTGATCGGCATTTAAACTACATGTCGCGATAAAATCTGAAGAGGGGTTGGATTTTTGCCAAATCCGCTATAACAAAGTGCGGATATCCATATCTTGATTAGAGATAACGTAAATATTTAATCTACATATATAAGATTATTAAGATTTAAAGCAGAATAAACCTTCACCTGACTATGCATGTTCTAGGTTAGTAGATCGAAGGAAGCATGCAAAATCCAGTGGTCGAATCCGAGTGAAACGAGGATCAAAGTGAAATGTCAAAACTGGTGGTGTTGTCATTAGTAAAAACGAACGTCTGAAAGATAAAATTAACGACCTGATTACGCAGGGTCGCATTTCGGAAAGTAATACGGTACTGTTTAAACTAATGAAGTAGAAAATGTAATAGGAATATACATATATGCGAGTATATACACAAATATATAAGAAATTGTATGGCAATATAATGTACAGAATGAGAATGATAATATGCTTGCAGAATTCCTGGATATTTTAACATGTGGAAGCATAAATTCTTCCAGCTATTAATTGTTGATAGGGATAATATCATAAATTAAGTCATACTCAGACAGACACATTTTAGCAATTAGTACCTAATACTAGGTTCTATAAATCTGAGATTAGTACTGATACTTGAAATTGTATTAACCTTCAGTTACTGGTCTAAATTCTGAATAACTAATTCAAGCAGAAAGAAGTAGCTGATAAAAAATATAGTGCTACATATCTTGTTTTGGATACAGGAGAATTGTTAGAGCAGTTTATGGAATACATTATTGCACGTAAGCGTACATATTAAACGCGAGACAACGAATGAGAGAAATCAAAGTCTTTCCAACTTCATACAAAACCGAAGCCAATATTTGTCAGGATCATCTTACTTCGTAAGGCACCTCAACTGCCGAGGACTGCGGCACAGCAGCCACTGACAAGACTGTCTGTATTTGTTAGTTAGTAAAGAGACGCTGGAGTAGATTGGTACAACATTTGGCTATTTATGGATTTCAGAATATGTACGATTTGAAATTTACATGGTGAATAACTTACTTACGTAAATCGTTGCTCTTATACCTAATGGTGTCGAGGTTTCTTTTTTTCATTTTTATCGCTTTACAGACGGTAGGACTCCTTAGACGAGTGATCAGTTCGTCGCAAGGCCTCTACCTAAACACAGGACAACACAAACACAGAAAGAACACATACACATATCAAACATCCATGCCTTGTGTGGCATTCGAACCCACGATCCCGGCTTCCGAGTGAGCGAGCCTCAGACCGCTCGGCTACCGTGACCGGCACATAGTGAATAAACGTGCTAAATCTTCTCGGGCCATCAGCTCTGTCAATGGTGAGTTAAAACCCAACGTTACAGAGAGCTCTGCCTCCACCATCAGGGTCGACGCCATCTAAACAACGACCGAGACGATTTCAGGAGACTTCAGAAAAGCTTCAACTAGCCAGATAACTAGATAGGTTGAATTAAAATATGTCCGAATGAAGGCAGTTACGAAATCCGTGGAAATGAACCTTTTTGTAATAAGTAAACGGCTTAAAGCGGATCTACGCGGCGAAATAAGACATAAGGCAGCTCAAGTGATTGAGGAGAGCAAGGAAATACGATGATCATTCTCCTCCGTTCCAGTGAACAGTTCTTGATAATTTTAAAACCGTTATTAGCGTAACAGGTGGCAAGTCTGCATCGTGATGATAAACCAAGTAAGGCATCCCGTATAGTAAGTACCAAAAACTACGTCTTCGGGAAATGTGTCTGAAATATTAAACTGTTTAATTACTACTATCGAAGACGGCCCGTTATCTATTGATTAAATTCTATCTATCTACCTATTCCTGTTGCTCCCACTTGGAGCATAGGGCATCCATGAAACGCTTTGTTTCACTTCAGTTTCTTGATCCCAAGAGAATCGGTAGGACTCCTTGAATGGGGGATCAACCCGACGCAAGGCCGCTACCTGCATCGGGCAGCACAAACACAAAATAAACGCATGCCATGCCTTGAGTGGGATTCGAACTCACGATCCCAGCGTTCGAGCGTCTGAGGCCACTGTGATCTGCAGTGATTAGAATACCAGTCTACTGCGATTCAAACTGTCTCTAGTTCGATCACAACCGTCATAACTAATCTCAAAAAGGGAACAACTGAAAAGCTTCCAGTATACTGACAACATTCCCGTTACTTGAAATGGGCAGCAGAGGTAACCCCAGGAACAATATACACATTAAAATATACCTCAAACAAGGTACGAAATAAAATCCATATAACTGTTCAGCTATTGTCAGAAATCTTTAGAGAATCACATCCATATTTTTAAGGGCACCATTTTAATTGTTTTTTAAATTTGAATCTCAATCAGTATCATTCAGTTTTAAAATACGTGTAATTTCCAGAAATTTAAATGAATCTACCTAAAATAAAGTGACCCTAAAATATCTGTGCATTCTTTGCATGAAATATCTCAAATGAAGGCATAATGACGAATTCATGTATACTCATATGCGTCATTTCCAAATTCACTCACAGGATACGTTTAAATGTAACGTGACGCTCAAGGATAACATTCTGGACAATTTCGTTTTTGTCAGCAAATGAAACCATTTGGATTCCAAGATTATTTTTGCTAAAAACTGGGATCTCCTAAAGATACATTTTAATTTTGCGTTAAAATTCAGGTCGCCCTAATAAAAAAAGTAAAGAATGAAATATTTCAGGACCCAAGTAATGTCGACAGCCGACCAAGGAGGGTATGCGACCCAAATTCTGTGGAGCATGCAATGGAGTACGCTATGTGCACACAGTTGGGGATACTTTTGTGCGGAAATGTAAGTAATAATTCTAATCATAATATCCACTTTAACATTTCTTTTATAACTGGCCACAGTTTCTTCGTTAAATAACATAGTCTGGATTTAATTGTGATTATTAAGCAAATGAAGACAGACGAAGGATTAAAAACAAAAGAACTTTCGGGCTAAATAAAACACTTACTGCAGCCACAAAACATAATAAAACTCAATGACTGTTTGAAATGAAATTGTGTATTTGTGTAATCATGTGACCCAACACGCATCACATCACTCGTGTTCAGAAATATCCGGCTATTTAATTACCAGATCTGCCTCCTCAAGTCTCCTGAGACTTATGTTATATTTTAGCGTCCTGTTGCACTGATTTAAGTCCATGAGATAAATGAATGTATGCACTGCAAGACGGATTAAATAAATCATGGACTCCTGAGACTTACCGAAGTCGAGCCTCACTAGCTGCACCATGTACGGCTCCAGCAGATTCACGTACCACCAGGGAACGCGCTCTGCCCGGGTCAGGGTGCATGTGTCCACATTGAAGAAGGAACTCGTGCTGCCGTCGATGGCCTTCTGAGGGATGCCGCCCAGGTCCGAGCTGATCTGCATCGGGGCCTTTCCCGCTGCCACGTTCAGAACTGCAGAAACAGAAAAAGTCTTATTACGGCTATGCAATGTGACACGGGAACTTAATGCACGAATGAGCAGTGCATCAAACTGAATGTAAAAGATTGCCTTTACATGTTGCGGCCACTACTCCTCATCGCTACGAACACTATGAAGAAACACTTTCCATGTACGAAGAACATAAGTTGTCACAAAGGGATTTCTCCCATTGGAAACAGAGGCTCNTTCAAACCTTGAAGTTCTCGTTTATAACCTCCAACATCTGCACTGTCACACACCATTTGTTATCACTGCTGTGATTACGAATACCTTATCTTCTAAGTTATAACGCTGTGCAGTCCAGTGAAAGTTAGCTGACGTTTTGGAGGAACATGTCACCTCTGTGTCGCAGAGCCAGCTGTCTGCTTCGTGTTGGTTTCTTTCTTGGGGTATTCGTCGGCCCTGAAGATAGAGGCGACATATTCCTCCGAAACGTCGGTCGATTTTCGACAGACTACACGGCGTTAAAACCCAGAAGACAGAAATCTTGCACTGTCATATGTGTAATAAACATGTTTCACTCATGGTTTGTAGGAATATTTATAACCTACGTTCACATAAAATATAGCCCCAGCGGTCCATTAGCTACTATTATCAGACTGAAACTAAATAGAATACACGTGTTCGTACACCTGCCATATTGTTACTTATCACTCCACAAAATAATAAATAGTTGCAAATTTTCGGTAATGTCTTACCATACGCAAGTATACTTTCAAGACCCAGAATACGTGGCGCTCATGTCGTTCAAACGCCAAAAGTTCATACTCTCACTATGCTATTATTATTATTAATTGTATGATATTAAAACGGACGTGGTTGGACTGACTTCCAGTAATATAAAATTCATGCCCTTTTCGAAAGTTTAATTAGGAGGACAAAAATACAGAAATCATGGTGATCTCATGAACCTTCATTTCCATTGGGAAAAAGCAGTAAACTATAAGAAAACTTTAAAATCAATAACTGAACACACACTTTCCCTATTACAATAATATTCACCTCGAAAAATATTAGATTCAGTATTCTGCCGCACAGAACACTTGAGCGCACAGGTATGGGGACGTGGGCACTGTTCCTCCGGTTCATGGACCGGCAGATAGGAAGCAGGTCACAAGCCTCCAGTCATTAGAGAGAGATTTCCGCTTCGTTCTATTAACTTAGACAAACTGCGTAATGATTTTTTCTAAGCATCCGCACCAGTTCACTGGTTCCATGCATTACTTTGCATTCCAAATGAACATGGCTAAACCTTAATCAGAGCCAGTAGGAAGCAGCTGTGGAAACACTACCCGTGTACTGCTATCGTCTTCTGTTTTAGCCCCAGTGGTTTATGTGCCAAATACTGCGGTTTCTCAATTGTTTCATGGAATTCCATTATTAAAAACTGGACAACTATGATACTCATTATTACCTACCTACCTACCTACCACTCGGCGCTACAGCCCTGGGTGAGCCTTGGCCTCCCCTACAACCAGTCTCCACTGCTCTCTATTCCTTATGTACTCATGATTACAAAATGAATTTGACAACACCGTCCAGAGTGACTCAGTATAGATTTATAAAGTTCATTTACATGTTTCGGCCAGTTGTGACCATCTTCAGGAGGCAACAGCAACACGCTAAGTAACTAAGGTATTATGATGTATGCAATAGTAGTCCCTTAGCATGTTGGTGCTGCTTTCTGAAGATGGTCACAACTGGCCGAAACATGTAAATGAACTTTATAAATCTATACTAAGTCACACTGGACGGTGTTGTCAAATTCATTTTGTAATAATTAACTAATGTGACGGACCAGAATGAATAAGTTCAACTTATGATAATCATAATTAATTCTGTGTTGAGTCTGAGATGTAAATTTTAGGAACAGAAAAAATAATAAAGATCAAATTTCATTATAAATTTTGTGTTAATTTACAGAATTGGATGAACACGTTGAAAGTGAAGTATTCATAGGACTCGTAAATCTGTAGTTTGCATTTTCTGCAGCGAGATGTGTCCCGCTGCGTACGGCAGCCTCACTTCCAGGTTTTCCGTTCTCACACAGGGCAATCTCGAGATAAATCGGATAAAATGTTTCCACCTCCACGATTTATGGAAGAGGCGCTAAGTTTGATAGGTAAAGGTAAATTTGTTAATTAAGCACCACGCCATGAAGAAGTATGTGGGAATGAACGTGTAGCTCTACCACTCTTGATCTCTGCACTACATAGAGTTGAGTTGTCAGCTTCACGCCCCGACCGCTCTACCCACGGGGAAAGAACATTCGATACCCATTGAATAAGAGGCTGGGCGGGACCCAGGGCCGGTCTGAACGTTGTGGAGTACAGAGCAATATTTTTCCCCACTCGGAATCGAACCCCGACCGTCCCACCCGTAACCCGTCGCTATACTAACAGAGCTCTGATAAATTACATGGGTATATAAACAACAGCAGGAAAACAAGTAAGCCTATACACTAAGGATTCAGCTCTGTATGTGAGGCATCTACTTCCTTATGTCTATTCAATTAATTCCACAGAGGAAAGTCGTTAATAGGAACCTGACAGTCACTAAGCTGGTCAGAAAATGCTCTGTCCTTTATGAAACCCGGTGGTTAATTGCTGTGTTCAAAAGACCCCCGCCAACTGATATGAGACTGAACCAGTTCAGTCCAATCCACGCCCACATATGCAACCGCTTTTTGTCCGATTTTAATATTATTCTCCCATCTATACCCATGACTCTCAAGGAAAATCACTGTCAACTGATTTGCAGAAAGTACATCCATGGGACCTGAGCTAGCATGCGACATCTGAAATCGCGTTACTAAGCACGTAATAGGGCCGCGCCATAGCTCAAGCGGTTCCGTATTCCGTATTCCGTATTGAGGGGGTGGGTTTCCCCATGCACTTAGACCGGTTAGTGGTCCATTGTGCGTCCCCCTTTAATTTCTACTGTCTCCATACCCTACCGGTACTGGTGCTTACTATCAGCCCCTTTCTGCCAGCAAGGTTCCAACCTCCTCTGGCAGTGGTATCTAATAGTTAGTCCCCTTCTGTCAGGGAGGTCCCCCCTCCTCTGGCAGTGGTACCTAATACTTCCCCCATCTACCGGAGGAATTGGAAACTACTTGGGCGGGAAATGTTGCCTAATTTTGCTCAGAGGTCTCCTAGAGACATGAGGTTCTTTTACGTGCCGTAAATCTACGACACGGGACCCACGGCTTAAAGTCCCTCCCGGAGGACTTGTTCCCTGAAATTTTCCGCCCTTAAAAATTCCACGACCTCCGCCGGGTTTTTGAACCCGCGTACTACGAGTCATGAGGTGGGAACGTTGCCTCTAGACTATGGAGGCCGCTTAGCTCAAGCGGTTAGTCGCTGGCTTCCCACCGCGGCGGCCAGGGTTCGATCCCGGGTGTGGTCAAGTGGGATTTGTGGTGGACAAAGTGGCGCTGGGGCAAGTTTTCCCTGCCAATCTTCATGCCACCAATTGATCCACAATCACCCTATCTATCATCTGGGGCTGGTACAATAGGCCAGAAGTGGCCGCAGTACAAGGGACTTAGTCCCACCCCACTAGCATTAAAAAATGCACGTAATAACGACCCAATCGCACTGAATTCTGGAAGTGCGCGATTGAGTAATGTAAAGTTGTCCCTGCGTTTAACTAATTAAGCACTACGCCCTGAAGAGGTATGGGGGAGTGGATGTATAAATCCACATTTTCTTGACTTCGGCACTAGTTGGAGGTGAGAATTCGGCTTCACGCCCCGACCGCTTTACCCCCAGGAAAGAGCCCCCGTACCCATTGTATAGGAGGTTGGGTGGGTCCCAGAACCGTCTGGATGATTGGAGAAGTGAAAAATTCTTGACCCTGCAGGGACTCGAACACCAGCTAATCGCTATACCGACTACGCTATTCCGGCTCCTGCACAATAGGATAGGGACGCCAATCATTTCATTAGGGACCTTCGCAGGGCTGAACTACTGGCATGAAACACCATTTCACAAGAATCAAAGTGTGAAATTTTGTGTGTGATGGAATTCAAAAGAAATATTTGGCAGCTGATTGGGTATTCTCCTTTCAAAGCCAGTACTTTTTTAATGATATTCTCTTATTAAACAGTTTAACGAAATTTTGTAAGATAATAATTAAATCATGGAGACATTTCTCTGATTTACGAAAGATAACTTGACCATCGGCTTGTTTCTAGAACAAGATACGGTCCTGTTTCTGTAATATTTACGGCTTCAAACCTGGTAGGATACTCTGCTGAAGAAGTCCCGCTACTCAACAAATTTGGGAAGTTATTTGTACTAATATTTGTAGCAAGCAAAATGATGTCAGATTTTCAGTAATTTGCTGAGAAAAACATGACAATGTTGTTTGAAACTTTCTCCAAATTAATATGAAATGCGATGGCTGTTTAACGGACACCATTCGAAATCTCATGGGAAAAGAAAGCTAACGGAAAAGATCAGCGTGGTCAAGTTGGCCAGAGGAAATGTCTCGTTCCAATAACATTTTAATACAGACTGTAGACAAGTGTGGCGTCCTTATTGTCTTTATAATTTACCAAAATCATGCTCCTGCAGTCGCTGTCAAAATCTCGATCTTATGAGAAACGCGATCATCACAAGTCCGCTACTATATTCCCACATACGAAAATAAATGTATTATTTAATAAATGTTCTTTAAACCTAAAGGCATGGATTATTATTAAAGGATGGACTGGATTTAAATTATGTAAGCAGATGACATTAAGTCAGACCGCCTCTGTGGTCTAGTGATCAGAGTTTCTGTCCACAGATCTCGAGTTCCGGGTTCGATTCCCGGCACTACCAGATTTTCTGAGAAGTAGTGGGTCTGGAACGGGGTCCACTTAGCCTCGTGAGAATAATTTGGGGCTTTTTCAAGGAAATAGCGGCTCCGGTCTAGAAAACCGAAATTAACGGCCATGGGGATCCGTTGCACTGATCACGCGACA